CATCAATCTTGCGTCCATTTCTAAAGTAGGACTCTATGATAAACACTTTTTGTTCTTGAGAAAACACCATTTTAAACGCTTTTTAAAACGAAAATATTCAAATTGATAGCGGCGATATAGCGCTTTGACAGATGACGTTTAAGTTCATTTGCTATACGCTACGCCCTGCGTCCAAATTTTCAGAACCAACTTGATCACGTTTTTATTTGAACGCTCGTTATATCGTAAAAATAATCAAATAAATCAATTTTGTTGTTAATCAGTTTAAAATACAAAAAAAGTGTAAAGAAACAAAAGTGAAGGTAATACAGTGGCGCATATGATGACCTATTTTATTTGTAATATTATACAGGGTGATACATTTTGTATTTGGCAAATAATGATCGATGACTGGTAAGTTTCTAAAACTGGTAATTTATTTTTTTTTTCATACTTACTGTCATACTAAATATACACACCGAATTTGGTTAAATTATCCTAAACGGTTTAGAAAATAAAAATTAAAAACTGATTTTTTTTTAATTTTTGACACACTGTAGCTGGACAATGGCTGTCCTAAGACCCCACATTTATATAACAAAAAAACCTTTATATTTGGCCACAGAATACGCCCCTGGTTTTTGACCTCTACTTAAGAAACATCCTGTATGTGTAACGCACCAATTTTGAAGACCTATGTATTTTGTAGGGGAAGCAAAACGTTTTTAATTTTGTAGGTTTACCCACAAATTTAAGAATGTATACATTTTTTTTATAAATTTTTCTACAAAAACTTAAATCATTGTAACTATTTGTAACTACAATTTATATTTCTTTTATCGTCTATTTTAATTTGCCCCCACCCCTCCCCCCCCCTCCCCCTGGCCCATTGGATAGAGATGCCCTTGTATTAAAGTAGTGTAAAAGTCCAAATAATCATTGGTGGGGGAACTTTTGATTTTCTGGGCAATAATATACTCTTAAATATTTAAAATTGCTGTGCCAATGATTTTCACTGTCGTGATGGCTAAATTTTGTTCAAATTTATATTTTTGACAAAATATTCCTATTTTTTTTTCGACTTATTCAACTATGGCGAAATAATTACTCAAAAGTAGGTCACTTTTCCAATAAAATAATGCTCAACATTAGGTATGTGAAGATATAGTGAATAATTTAAATTTAAAAAATAAAAAATTAAAGTAGGGGTTGTTGATCTTGAGACTTCGAAAGGGGTAACACATACAACCGTTTTTTTTTTCATTTTTCTAAATATTGCATTTTCACATTATGAATTTAAAAAAATTAAATTCAAATTAAATTTTAAATTAAAATTTATTTAGGTATAGCTACATAGAAAATATATTTTTTTTACTCTCTTCTGTGCAACCCGTTCGAGATCCGCATATTTCGCAAATTTCGTTCGAAATTTTTTCTTCATGAAATTTCTCTATGCGAACTAACCATCCCCTAAAAAACGTTTTCACTTTCATTACCAAATTATAACTATGTTAATTTTCACCAGCCGCCACTGGTGTTCACTGTCACCAGTTATTTATAGTGTATACTTGAAATTTTTTTTTACTTATAATAAATTGAAAACGTACATTCTCCTATCAATGCGGCTTCCACTGAATTATTATGCCGGTGGCGTATTGGAATTAATAACCATTTTAATTTCATCGACTAATTATATACTTATTAGCGTTTACCGATCGAGTAGGGACGACGTACGTCACACAGTGTGACCGAGCGTGAGGAATAAGAAAGTCCCAGGCATTGTCCGTGGCTCGGATGCATTGTACATAATATCACACATAGATTACGGGACAGCGCCGCTGAGGTTTACGCTAACGGCGGCGGTGTATTGGCTACTTGTTGATGCCGAACGTAGCGATATAGAGGAAGTGAAATGGGGGCGGGACGGCTGGCGAATAGCTCGGCGATACACCGCGGCGCCAAGGTGCGCTAACACGAGCTGCGTGGCCCGTAACCAACCAGCCGTCTCGGCGAGTGCTCGAGTCCGCCCGCGTCCGCCCACTCGTAGCTTTCTACTCGTTAGTCCTTACTAGTCATTAGTCACTTGTCTACGGCAAAAGCAATAGCGCCGGGATCGCCTCGTAAGCTCGGCGTGCCCGCGTAACTGAAATCGCGCGTCGCCAGTGCGTGTGTTTTGTGTTTTGTCGTGCATCGATTCGACCCCCGACATGCTGCCTTACCAGGCGGTGGCCATGGACTATGCCGTCTCGTCCAGCTTCCAGAGGCACCAGCCGCCCATAGGACTAGGAGTCAACATCAACCCTGCCTTCACGCACTCCTGGTTCGTACCGGCGGATCTGTGTGTTCCCTACAAACAGACTCCTCTCCTCGAACCAGGGCATGTCAAACTTATTATCTCTGCTTTTAATTTTATTACGCTACATGCGGTGTGTGTCCGAACCTCGCAACGAACGTTTGTTGTTGTCTTTGCTGCGTTGTCCCTAAGTGTTATCATTTGCGTTTTTATTATGTTTGACACCGGTTAAGCGTGGACGCCAAAGAGGCCGTTTGTGTACCATAATTTTTTTCAAATGCCTTATATATATATATACAAAAATA